CAGGATAGCTTCGAGAGTAATACCAGTATACTCTTTTACGCTACAATGGATAAGGCTTTCTATTACTGCTGGCCACATTGTCTGTTCCTTCGTAAGAGAGTTCTCTTTCTCGCACATCTTGTACGCTATCTTTGCGAGATGCTTGTTCTCCTTCATTGTCTTTGAAGGCAAAAAGCCGTTAGCTGCATAGTCGTAGGTAGCGGGAATGAGCCAAGAAGGGCCTGGCAATCGCCCTCTATAGTAGGCTTGAGCTTTGGTATCCTACGATAGGACATTCCGGCAAACGGCTCGCTCAATAGGCGAGAAGATCTTATGTAGTAATAGCATTCGGACTTCTTTGATACAAATCTGGAATTGTGATTAGTTTCTGTGGTCGGCAAATATAGTCGGCAGATATTTACCTTCATTGTCTCGCTGCCAACGATTTTCAAGACCTCTTTTATGCCTTTCTTATTTGGTATATCCAGGTTCTCAAGGATAACAATCTTGTCCCAGAAGTGGTGAATAGAAGAGCGCTATTGATTGTAGGCCGTCGAAAAAGTAGAAGAGGATGCCTGGATAGCAAAGGTACCAATGGACTTAGCCCTCGCTTCCTCTATCTATAGAGTCGAGAATGGATTGAGAACTGATTCCGAGGGAAGGCAATAGTTGCTAAGGCCGCCAACCCCTTTGTCGCACTCCTCGCTAACAGATAGATGCTCCTATTCCTACTCAATCTGGTCTTCTTTCTAGAATGTCAATCGTTCCTTAGAGTCGATATCGCCGAGTTCGAGAAACCAGTCGGCTTTATCAATCTTTGCCTGCTTATCGGGAGGAAGTGTTGCACTCTTTCCAGTCTGCTTCTTTGTACTAAATCAGAAGTTAGTACTCAAATCTGCCGACTATATCCGCCGACCACATTTGTACTTACGCTTTTTGATCATACTCCTTTGTATGTATCTTTCTCTAGCCCTCGATAAGTTCCTGTTGCTTATCTTTAGCGAGGCTTTCGAAACTCGTATACTCCTTGATTTGTACCTTTTTGAATCGCGCGAAGGATTCGTTGCGCGCTTTGCGGTATCGATCCTGTACCCTCTTTTCTTCGTCCATAGCGGCAGTACGCTCTCGGTCTCGTAAAGTGTTTGGCTTGAGGGAGTACTCCTCGAGTGACTTCGAGGCTGCGCCGAGCTTTGCGCGCTTGTTTGCTAGTGCCTCTGGGGCATTGCTCTTGCGTTTCGGCATAGTGAGGTTTCTAATGTTAGTATAGTAGTTGAAGAAGAACTCGGTCTGATTACGAAGGTAGGTATCGACGGCGCTAGTGAAGGTACGGAGGTACGGGTGTTGTAGAGGTGTTGTAGTAAGGTAGTGAAGTAAGAGAGAGAAAGTAAATTTACCCCACTAGGGCAATTTAAGGTTTAGGTAGCTGCCGAATCCCGGCATTAGTTACGCCGGGCAACGATACTACCTATCTTTCCGGACTAATAACACTCTACCGCACTACTGTACCGCCGACGTTATTCTAGATAATAAGTATAAGAACTATACGTAAGTCGCCCCCCCTAGGCGTTATTAATTTCGAATATGAGTTGTTATCCGTTCGTTCGCTACTACTAGGATAACTGCTAGCAGGGGTTATATATATATATATATAGTATATAGATATCTATAATTAAAACGATATATATATCAAGTATAGATATCTAGGACCTATATAGTAAAACGCGTACTAAATTATATATACGCCTAGAGAAACAATAGGTCCTACAGCTATAGAAGAACGTGTTCGGCAGACGTGGTCGGCGTATAAGTCGTATATCCTACTAGCGGCCTTAGGATATATATAGAATCCCTGTATAGATTACTAATTACCTTCCCGCGAGATCCGATATACTCTCGAGATAAGCG